CCTCAAAGAGACAACTGTGCGCCTTAATCGCAAGAACCTACATGTTTAAAGGGACAGGGCAAGAATAAAGCATCTAATTAGGGCAGTGGAAGTACTGGATAACCATCGTAGCGCATTTAGCTGCATTAGGCCGAAATTTATGTTCAAGGTGACCAATACTCCAAATTACTCAAAGTCCAACATTTCATGCCTAACTACCTGTTGGGTAATCTGAGTGGGCTTGAAAATCTCGCAATTCCTTCCTCCGCAGATCACTCTATGCAATAATTTCACATCCGCTTGCGCATCAAAGCAACATCCGTGATCCCAAACTACAAGAGCCTAAATGTCTTAAGAGATAGGACCATTCCAAAAGAGGTTAAAAAGGACAGTGATGAGAGTGAACAGCAGCCATTGGTGCCAGTTGATACGTGCTGCACATTTGACTGCATTTCATCTCAGTTCATATTTGGGGTAAATAATACGCCAAACTTATCAAAACCTGAATCCTTTATGCCTACCTACACTTAGATAAATCTTGGTCAGTTTGTAAAAACCAGCAGAATGTTTGGGAATATCACACACCTAACCAAAGTGCTGAAGCAGTTTGATTTGAATGAGCACCAATTAATTAACGACATTCAGATAGACCAATCAGGACAGAGGCAGGCGCAGGAAATTAGGTCCAATGAAAAGTGGGTAATGCTATCCAATCACAATGAAGTAAAGTTGCACCAGTGCTTAAGCAAGTAGAGTGATTTCAATTTTACATGTCTCCACAAAATTACATGACGCTAGCTTGCATCTGAAGTAGCACGAAACTTTTTTTTCCATCAAAGAGACATTGCTCTCCAGGAAGGTGGTCTCAATCTTCCCAATCGCAAGTAGGACAAGGAACGAAGTGCAAATGAATTAATTGGACATTTAATAAGGGAATTTACCCGATGGCAAGACATCAAGCAGCACCCGGTTTGAAGAATGACTGCACTTTAACGTCAAACATTGAGAGTAACAGTTGTTGACGTGCCTAAAAATGAAATTGGATTTTTTGTAAAGGAGAAAGACTTTCGATTTGACTAGCCCCTACAATGTAAAGTAAGGAAATGTAATAGCTATCATGGTGCGATAAATCGCCACATCAAGGTTGAACACGTCACGAGATGCAGCAGGATGAATCGCTTAGTAACGCCTCTGAAAGGAGATGGCATAATCAACCAGCAGACAGATGAAAAGCGGGTCCGGGGAGGGGAATACACTCACCATTCCCCGTGAGTGCCAGGAATCACTGAAAAGGAAGTAGGAAGGCTGTACGGTGTGCTTTGAGGACCTTTTCCAAACTCATGTGTCAGCTTTAGCCAGGAGTGTGTCCCACCCAGAGGCTGTTTAAATTGTTCAGTTAAGCAATCTCGAACGAGGAGATTTTATGCCCACGCCAGAACGGATTGCCCTAACACACTACCAACGATAATACTACGCCATAGTAATACAAGCTTAGCCTCAACTCCGGTAGTGTCTGTCCGTAGATCGTGAAGTAAATCAATGCCAATCCAACTCTCTCAAACAGTGTTGTTAAGATGCAGGGGGGAGTTCCTAGAGAAGGCGTTCTCATGTCTCCTCACTTTGTGTTCGTCAGTCGAATGAGGATCACTGTGGCTAAGCGGAGTCCCACTACCCAAATCAGCACGATTCTGAGGTTCGTCTACACATTGCATTAGCGATCCTAATGAAAAAGACAATAATACTATATCGAAAGTGAGATGGCAGTTTCATAGATAGCAGGAGAACGTAGTGGCTGGAAAGTATCTTCACAGGGAAGGCATAGAGAGGTTAAGAGAACTTGTCAGTGGTTACTGTCTTTTATCCCAGCCTTACCGTTTTGTCCAATGCCTCCTTCAATGTCCGTGCCAGTCTTTCCAACTCCGACTGCATCCCCTTGGCTAACATTTGGGGGCTAGCACTGAAGCCTGAACAAGGCAAACGGGCGAGACGGTTTATCAGACAAATTGAAAATGACTTGACTACCAAAAAGATGTGTCAGATGTAGCCAAGTGGCTGGTATCTGCCGAAAAGCAATTAATTACCCCTTCATTTGCATTTTTGGCACAACAAAGTGAAGTAGCATCAATACTGAGGCCTAAACAATGACCTGCGTTTCACAAGTCACCACAATTGCGTGACATAAAGGATAACTGCATCCACAGTAGCACAAACTCTTTCCCCATCTGAAAGATGTTGCCCTTAAAAGGTTGTCTCAGTTTCCAAGACTGCAAGAAAGTTGAGAAATGAGGAGCCATCAAATCCACGGATTGGGAGTATTAGTCGTTCATGGGACAAGTAAATTTATGAGATTGTGAGACATCAAGCAGTACCCAATTTGGAAAATGATGACACATTAAAGGCCAACTTTGAGACTATCAGATAATGACATGCCTGACAATTGAACCATATCTTGTGTAAACAAGAAGGACATTTGGTGCCAGTTTGCCACATGGATGTAAAGCTGAAGCACAGACAGCTGGAACATTCAATTGCATCACCAATGGGCTCAGGTATCCTCCATCTTAAGCAGTGTCACTCATCTTATCTCACGCCCTCCTTTAAAACCCGCAGTCGGCACCCCCGGACACAGAAGAGCATTCCCTTTTAAATTCCTTAATATTCTTCCCATCCTGGAAACAGCCCCTCACTCACACGGACAGTCCCTTCTGACTGGCTGAGACCGCATCAGCTGCACTTGAAGTGTCACTGCAGGCCCGAGGTCAACCAGTCACCGCATCCACCCTACCCCATCTGACCAAGTGACTGCTAACCGGAAGCAGGCTCAGACAGTCTCCACTCACCAGCTAGTCACAGCCCCTTCATCTACTATCACCACTCCTTCCTGCATATATCAGCAGGAACAATTTAGGGGCTGCATCACATACTACTGAATGAAAGTTTGTCTTGCCTCTGGAGGTTCCACAACTCCTGGCTTTAGGCAGGCTGTATCACATCCGTGGAATCCGATGGTAGTGGTAAGGACGAGGTGGCATCGAGATCCAACTATGTGACTGTCCAAACTCATTACAATTTAGATGAAATATGAATTTCAACTCTCACAATTGATTCGGTTACAGGATAAGCCACCGATTTTGTTAAGCAGGAGTTACCATGGTAGTAGATGGCCTGGATCCTCTTGAACTCATCGACCAGATAATCAGTAGGTTAATGCGTCAAGGCAGACGTCCTCGTCCTCGGACAACATGGGTTTGAGTCAACATGGCGATGTGACTAAACCGAGGGATGGGGAATGTGACTTTCTGAGCCTGCGTCTGGGTCGCAGTCACTCCGCTACGCATGCTTTTGGTTATTGGTTTACCTTGGACTAATAGTGTCACTCCACGTGAAGTTAATGCCTTCTCAGGTAATCAAAAGGGACTGCTGCCCTTGTGAGTAAGGGGGTGTTTCCTTATGCAGAAAAATTAGAGGAATTGAAGAGAGAATGCTGATCTGGATCTGCAGGTCTCCACAGCAAGTTTCTTGGGAAACCATGCAATATGCTAAATAAGACAACGGAGGGCAGTGCCCATTTGTGAAGTAGTTAGAACTTTCAGCTCTACATCCATGCGGACAAACTTATATCAAGGATCTTGCTCCTTTACTCGGAGTCCAATTTGATGTTTAGGGACTTTAACAACAGATAGCCTTAAGGTAAACGTTAAAGTACTCTCATTTTCCAAACCGGCTACTTCTTGATGTCTCGCAGCTGCTTTAGTCTTCTATGTCCTAGGCTATGGATTTGAGGGCACCACGTACCTCGACTCATCTTCGATTTGGACGGTAGAGGCCACCTCCAGGAAGGTAACATTTGTCAGGTGGAAAAGGGAGGTTGTGCATTTGTAGATGCAGCTTTCCTAAATGTCGCGTGAATTTTATGACAGTTGTGAAACCTAGGCGCTGCTTTATGTGCCTAATAATGGAGCATGGATGATGGTCAATCTGCAGATTCAGCCCTCCTGATTCTGCCTTCTACTGCCTTCCTCTGACCTGAAACATTTATACCACACAACCTCAACGCGCCTACTGTGGTTTTAGGCCAATTCGGTTGTCTGTAACTGTCAAAAGTAGCAATGTGTAGCGTCCAAACGAGATGCAGCAACAGACTTAACCCTTTGGAAATAGCATAAGCAGATCAACTCTGAAGCTTATGATTTGGTCTGAGCTGTTACTCGACTGAAATCAATGCGGTCCCTCTTCAGTTGTTTTGTGCCATGAATGCCCTCTCTCGTTGTAATTTGTTTCAACTTTGCCACTGACTATCTCTGCTGATTTCATTTTAGTAGCATTAAAATTCTGCTTGGAAGCATCAAATGAGAATACTCCTGTTTCCTGTTTGGGTGAAACGCATATAGTTTGAATGTGAGCACCTTGCCTTCTCTGTTCCATCGCCTTGGAAGAGCCGTCTACTCGCATGTCTTTATGCCCCTTTGAAGTGGTCAAATAAAAGTCTCTCTGGTTTTGATGTGTTACTTGGGCACTTCTAATAAGTTGGTAGGTGGCACAATCACTTGGATGCATGTAGACTGTCATTTGTCACTCGCATTGCCTCTGGTTCATTCCACCTTCATCACTCTCATCTTCCAGCCTTGCGTAAACTAAGCAGAGATAATAGTCAAATTTGGCATTGGCGTGACAGCTAGATGGTGCTATGCCTTTCCCATTTTTTGCACTGTTTAAACCACTTGTGGTAATGCTTCTAAAGACCTGGCAAACGGAAGAATACGGTGCTTTGTGGAATGCCCAATGGATTTGGAATGTAAGGGTAGGTCGATTTGATGTAAAGTAGACAAGGTTGTGGCAGGTGGGCAAGTAAAAAGGAAGATGGAGGCGTAGATGCATGGAGACAATTGGATAGACGGACTTCTAAAAATATTTAAATAAAAGTAAAATTGTAGATGGGTGTATGGAATATGGATGGAATGATTGATACGGGATAAATGGAAACGTGGCAGATGTGTGCGGGAACAATAGATTGATTGTGGATGAAAGGTTCTGAGATGGATAGATATGTGAATGAGTGAGCGATAAGGATTAGTTTCGTGCTCCCACCAATTGAAGATCAGAAGTGGCTTGTATTAAAAACAGCCCTGCGAGAGAGTGACCTGCACCTCCTCAATATAGTGAGGGGCAAGGCGACTCCACGTCTGTGGAGAAAGTCAGCCTTGTGAGTAGATGTGTGTGATAGACAAGGAGCAATGAGGGCAGATGAACCGGGAGACATGACAAACCTGACGTGATCAGTTGTGTGGGTTTACCTGTCGCCGACTCATCTTTGGCATTATGTGGGTGGTGGGGAGCAACAATGAAATTGTGACATTATTCTAGGAGCTGCCATGATCATCATGGCAGAGTGGTGTGTGATTTCACCAGTCAGTGTATTATCTCATGCTAAGACTCCGAGTTAATTGAATTGTGTACAATTGCTACCTCTACATCCATCTACCCATTCATCAATTCAACCCACATTCGTCCCACCATCTATCCCTCCATCCACCCATCCATCCACGCTTTCATGCATACAGCCTCCCCCCAATCCATCCATTTCCTAAACATCTCTCCATTCATCCATTCATCTTCCTATCTACCTATTATTAAACCTCCCTCGCTGTCTATCTAACTACCTCTACCTAGCTACTCATATGCTTCCCTGCCTACATACCGATTGCCCACTTTCCTTTACAACTCACCAATCTATCATTTTCCCGTACATTTATGCATAAGACTGGGCGTCTTATTCTGCACTCGTCAGGTCCACACAAACAAAACCACACTTTGAACACAAAGGGGCACAACAATCAGAATGCGTTAACAACATTAAGCTGGTTTTAGTGGGCAGAACAATTAAGCAATTATTGCATCGATGCCATAATTGAGCTGATCGTCTGCTTAATCTGCATCAAACTGGATAGCATAAGTCACTGTGCTGAAGCGCTTGGTAACCATATCGAAGATGAGAATGAGAGACAGAGCAACTGTAAGTGTCATTGCAGCGGTAGCAAAGAAAGGCGACAACAGTTGAATGATACTCGCATAGTAAGCGACTCCAGTGATTGAGACCATGGTGGAGATGACTGAAAATGCACATGCTGCAATCCCACTACAGGAGCAGTTGCAAACTATTTCAAGGATAAGAAGGATGCTTGAGATGAAAACAACCACACCGGCTGTCAGGAGGAGAGCACCCATCACCTTGAGGTGAAAAAAGCGAAGACACCCACTACTTAGAATGCTGCCCCCACAGTGCCAGCCATCATAGCCGACTGCGAGGAGGAATAGGAATGTCGCTACAAGTGAACATAGTGCGTACAATATCTTCCAATCCATAGTTCACACGTCCTTCTCCTCCCTTTCTCCATTCGCCCCTTTATATACTCACACCGAGATAAGGGTCATTCCGCATCACGTGTCTCACTCTGGCGACGGGCCATTAGCATGCTAATGTGAATAATTGCATCTTCTCAGTAGATCGCCCCCTGTAGTAAGGAAAACAACGCTTTTATAAAAATAAAATATTTTACCAACACAAGTGCATTCAAGTTACAAGTGGGACCTTCGGGTTTATTTGCTTAGAGGCATTACAGCGGTTGTAATAAATGCGGCACTTTCACATGTGTACTCACGTCGCAAACTACTCCAATCCCCCAGTCCAGACACTGTAGAGCAGAGTGGCGGGCAAGCTGAGTGTTTTGTGTTGATGTCCTATGGTCTACACCCAGCACCTACCAAAAGAGCGAACTGTCACGCGCAGACAGTCATGGAGGATTCCGTTACTGGAGGGTATCCTGTACACACTAGGAAAGTCTTTATGCTTTAACGATGGATACAAACTTCATGGATATACGCCATTCCACAAGTGGAAGAAAAGGAAAAGAGAACGGAAAATGCAAGCACAAAGTGAGTGAAGAGCAAACATGTTAAAAGTAACCAACAAACTTCATGTCTCTGCAGGCACTGGGCAGGATGATAATTGTTTAAATTATATTTAAGTGCTGACTTCTCAGCTTTCTCACTCACTGCGACCTCATCGATAGACGTTTTTACATTCAAAACGAAGGCAAAGAATGTGAGATTAGTAGTTGGAATTCTAAAGAAACCTACAAATTGCCTGATTGTTGTGCTATGACTCAATGTGATGGCTTTGGCAATTTTGTAAACCACCACCTCAAGGTTGCACACATCATGAGGTGCAGCAGAGTAATTAACCGACTGACAGCTCTGAGAGGAGACTGTCTAATCCACTAGCACAAAGGTGAAAAATTGTGGGACTGCAGCGTAAACACACTCACTGTTCTTCTATACTTGCCTTGAGTCACCGAAAACAGGGAGACGGAAGATGATACGGTGACTTTTGAGGTCCTTTGCCTGACTTATGTATCAGCCCCAGCCAAGGATTTATGTATGGTTCGCCAGTCGGTCCACAACGAGATCTTTCTAATTATTCACTTAGAAACTTCTGAAGGGACAAACTTTGTATTCATGTCAAAACAAAATAACAAACACGCTCTCCACCCACGATACCACTCTCCTCAATGTAAGTATGGCTTGACAACCAAAAATAGGCATTAAGTATCACCTAGTGGATGATATCTTCTGACAGAACTCTAAAATCCACTTTATTTTGCCTGCTGTCGTCATGGCCGCCGTACATGTGGAAGCGATGTGGATAATGCTATCAGTGCTAACTTTCTTTTGCTTGCATTAATGTCATACAGGCTCCACTTAAGAAGGGAACGGTAATTCCTTTATTAGCAGCCTTCAAGCAAAATTTCTATGCTACTAAAATGAAATTAGTAGAAATAGCTAGTCCCAAAGTTGGAATAAAGTAAAACAACACCGTTCCCTCATAGCACCAAGGGACAAAAGGGAAGTCAAATAGAATTCAGTCATTTAACTGCTCGTCTTCGGCAGCTGTTGCATTAAATAATGAGGTAGGGAGGAGAGGGCGCCTTGTGGATGTTTTACGGGCAGATGGAGACTCACTGTGGAGGTTGTTGAAGAAGTTTGCGGGCACAGTTTCTTATGCACCGACGCTGGAGCCCGAAGACCACACATAACAAAACGGATTTATATTAATAATTAGTTGCGAATCTGTCCTTGTCAGGGAAATTCTGATCTTATTCTGTGGCGTTATCTCTTGAAGCTGAGAATGCATAATTTCAGAGGTTAATATTACCATTAGCTTAGGCGCCCACTTGGAACATATGCTTCACCGCTTAGGAGGACCATCTTATGCATGTTGGCTATAATTTCCCTATTTTGTCTTTATTCCCCATGGATGACGAGGTGGACTTCGTAAGCATTCTAACATTAACACGTCAGTGTCCATGATATTTCACTCCTGTATCAACACCATTTGTTGTTGTAGGGTAGTTTGCTGAGAGTCTAGTGAAGATGAATTGAATGAAGTTTCCTGCTTCTGCTTAGGATTGCCAAATTAAATGACCAATGAATTAGAGGAGCATTTTAATTCCCTCGTTTACTTACCGTGGAGAGTGTGGCGGGCGGTTGAAACCTTAATGAGCAGGCTGCGGAAGAAATACGCGAACACATTTTCTGATGAAACATTTGACAAGTTTCCACCTAGGCTGGCTCCCAAAAAGTACGCTAAACAGAGCAAATTCCCTTTATCGATAGGATGTTTTAAACTTGGCCATTTTTCTAAAGAATCCCTAGTCTCTCTCTCGTTATCTCTTGGAGCTGCAAATTGGTTATAGCAGAGGTAGACTTTACCATTGGCTTTGACACTTACCTGGAACACATGGCGGCTGCCTTTCTTCCGTTTTGATTCTATTTTTGCTAGGACGACCAGATGGGTGTCTAAAGCATTCGGTTTTCAACACTTGGATGCAATTATATTCAAACGCGGAATTATTGTTTGTGGGAGAGCATTAAGGTTTTACGAAATTACACCGATTTCTATTCTCCTTCCACTGAACTCTTCAACCAATTCCAGCTCCGATAACTCAATTATACTTACTGAAACAAGCCAGATGCTGAATATTTCTCAAATGGTATTGTTCTAAACTCCAAATCCCATTGCACTTACAGTGTCACCAGAACGTCCAAATCACAACAATCTGTGTACCAGACCAGCCACACCATTCACTGCTGGCTCGTCATCTGTGGTTTTAGCATGCTCTTATGGCTTAGAAATCACTTCTGCAAAGTCATCACCGGGATTATATTTGGTCAGATTCTGTTCCATCATGCCGGTCTTGCGCAGACCATCCCAACCGGAGGGGCCAGAATGCATGAAAATAGGATGGCTCCACTCCTATTGTATTTTGCATGCACAAGACTCATTCAATTCACAGCGAGACTTCAGGTGTTGCAAAGTGCTACTGTGGGAGACTGCCCATCAATGATGCATGTCTTGTGTCCCCTTCTGACACCATCAAGGCTAAATTAAGTGTAACAGCAGTATCAAGGAGGGAATTCTCCCATCAATGACGGTATGAAATCTTAATTTGGGAAGGCTTTGCTTGCGGTATTGTGGGGTAGTAAAGACGTATAGTCTCTCAACTTTAAGACATTCAAACGATGCAAACGTGTCAAAGACCATCGTGAGTGATAATGTGCAGCTGTGACGATGACTTGGCATGTTGAAAATAATTTACACCATCCAGCCGAGAGCACAAGAGCAGAACCAATCTGCGGAGGAGATAAATACAAGCACTCAGCAAAGTGATGCATAGGGTTTATCAAGGGAGTGCAGAGACGGAGCAGTGGTACTGACATATCTCTCCAATGATGGAACTGCTTGCATAAATTAGTTCAACACCGGAACCAGTGTAGAAATGCAGAGGTTGAAGGAACGAAGACCATGAGGAGAGATAGAGGACTAAGTCCACTCTGATAATACCACACAGCTGTTCTCTGTCCCCCTCTATCACTCTAGCGAGCGTAGCATCAACGCAGTTGGCTCACATGAATACGTTCTGTGTGAAAGAGGACCTATCAGCAGGATGTTGTAGACTGTTCTTCAACGGTAGAGGGTAGATCATTTGCAGGTGTCATTGACATGCTCGTCTGGTCAGTTGGAACTGCTTAAACCGCTTCTAGGGGTGAATTCTGCTGCCGCATCTCCTTTGACCACTAGATACTACTACTGTGAGGGATTGCTGAAGCCTGACAATCGAGCTAGACTCAACTTGCAGCAGGCTCGTTCAAGTTAAACAGTATGAGGGCTTAAAATTAGGGGATTGCAGTAGAGAGCACAATAAAGAGCACTGAAACTGCAATTTGATTAAGGTCCATGTTCCATAACGAGCCACACAAACAACCGCCCATATTTTCCAAGTACCTACAAAATTACATGACATTGAGGCGAACTACTTCTACAGAAGAGCAAAATCCTTTCCATCTGAGAGAAGTTGCCTGTTAAGTGGTGATTTCCATTGTTCCAATCGCAAATGCATAATTGTGCCACTCCTTTCCAAGCAAGAGTAACTTCTGACTATACGATTGCCTTAGGAACCAAACTGGAAGTGCTTCCGACAATGCACTTTCGTATTACAAGTATCTTAATGAGTGTATAGTCCTGCTGCTGCGTAGAAGTGGAAAGTTGACCAGTGAATCAGGCAAGCGTTTAAACTTTTTCGTTTGCTTTCTCATAGAAAGCTCTGCGATGGAAATAAGTTGAGTCTCAAGTTATCTTTATACGGTGAAGGCAGCAATGAAGAGAACACTCCTCCGCTGCCACGCACTTTGGATCACCGCTTTTCAAAATGTGGCTACCTTGTTCACCGGATGAATAAACGGGTGGATAAGGGATGGTTGGGTTGATGAATGGAGGCTTGGGTAAATGGAGTACCCAGTTCAATCAAATAGGGAGCACAATTTTATCAAAAAGGCATTCATGAACCAAACCACTGACCAGCGGACTCGCACGACACTCAATTGTGTAACAATGTTGGGGATCCGAATGACCTTTACGATTGCGTAGATGAGTCGTGGATAATTAAATCACCACAACTGATCGGATCGGGATCTCCCGCTCTTCCAGTACGGCTGTCCACATCGCCACTTGTTCACGACACATCTACTCACAAGACTGGCTTTAGCCATTGCAGTGGAGCTGCCTTTTCTTTCTCAACACCTTGTCGATTGATCCTGTGGTAGGGCTTATCCGGTTGGCACTGGATGCCCAAATAGTGTGGTACCCTCCTCCATTGTCTGCTGCTGACTCTTCCTGCCTGTAACAGGTGCGGATTTCTGGTCATCGTCCACAGCCACAGGACAGGGATCAACGCATCTATTCACCACTAATGCTGGACTCTCCTCTAGCGATGTCTGGTTGGGTTACTGAAGTGAAACAAGGCAAGTGAACTAAAGGTACCTACTGTAGCGCAAAATAATTCCACGTTGAAATTTCCCAACTGAAGAAGCAAAAAGTCTGCTTTAGACATAAACACTGTGATTTGACTCATATTTCAAATTTTCTTAAGATTTCTCCTAATTCGGGACACAAGAGTAGTCACTGTGACCAGGATGATGCGATGATTGATGTCATCATGGTTGGTAGCGCTTAATCCGAAGAAGATACTTGCAGTAGAATGACCTTTTCCACATTATGAACATTTAAAGGGACGGAGAGAGGGAAATAGTAGAAGGACGGGAGAGAGAATGTATAAACTATGGATCGAAAGATACAGAAGGCAGTTCTTGCCCTTTCTGCAGCAGTTTTATTCTTCTTTTCCATTGCCTATGAGGCCAGGCCTGTTAGACCAGCATTCGGAGTGCCGGGTGTCTTTGCTATCTCTACCGCTATATGGGTTGTGCTCTCCCTTTTTCAGACAACTAGTTATTTACATTGCGGGCTTCCTACATAACATATCAATAGTCTTTGACTACCACTGAAATGTGATTGTGGCCTGTGTATCGACAGTCATCTCCGCCGTTCCCTCGTTCTTTTGGATCGCCTACTGTGGAAATGTGATCCCACGTTAGTCGTCTTTCATTGCAACCGCTGCAATGTCACTCACAGTTGCTCCAGCTGACACGCTTAGCTTCGATCTGGTAACCAAGCACTGAAATGTTCAAAGGCTTCTTTATTTCCTCCCTATCTAGTCTCGTTTAATCCTGTTGGGGGTCTTGCCTTCCGTCATGTCTACAAGCCTTTTTGAAGTTGTCAAATAGGTCTTAATGATGTTTCTTTTACCTCTCCTTCAGCTGGTCGTAAGTGACAAGTCATTTATCACTTCATGTTCCACTGCATCATTTCACATCTCCTACTTTGATCTTCCAGCCTTGTGTAAAATAAGCAGAAACCATAAACAAGGTCATCATAGCCACTGAAAGTAATTCAATTCTGCTGATTGATTAGGCAATCTGCTCCCTGAGTCCGCTGCAAATCATGATGCCTGCAACCTTGAGGTGGTTGTTAACACACCACTGAAGCCATCACACTGGGTGATTGCACAATGGTCAAGTAAATTTTCAGGGTTCTCAAGAATCCCAACCACTGATCTCACGTTCTGCTGATGTCTCTCGGCTTTAGGCTAAGATAGACTAGACTAGGTGTCTCTTGAATTCAGCGATATTTATTGGTTCTCCTGACCCAAAATGCAAAACCTTACAGTTCTTTTATAAAGTATTCATCCTGATAGTCAATATGTGTGT